AGTTTAGACAGTAGCTCATATGTCATAGGATCCTGTACTATCCCCACCCTAAAATCCGGCTTCAAACCCCAGAAGAAGCCGAGAAAGGTAGGACTGAGCCTTATTTGGGGCTTGGGGTGTAAGGGCGGGGGTAGTATGGCGTCCAAACAGAAATCAAACTACCTTCGATTCATAGCATGAATAGTAAGCCCCACAGCCTTCAAATCCTATCCCAGGCCGAACTACCGGCTCGTCGATTCTGCGAGACCAAGTTTCAAGCAGCAAAGCGTGGCATTCTCCAGGGCGATCTCCAGCCTCGCGACGTCCACACTGTGGTGGTTTGTAATGAATGGGGAATTGGTTGTTGTTGGGGGATTGAGGGCTGGGCTAGGGGGGTTTGGGGCTTACCGTTTAGGGATTCTTATTCGGGCCCCGACTGCTTTGGAATCCACATTCTCCTCCCCCGAGCGCACCAAATAATCAAATTGGTCGCTTAGCATCGCCCTGCATACCCTTGTCTTATGCTACCACTATGCCACTTGCAGTGCAGGACATGCGTCGAGTATTACAAGTCCTCCTCCAGGCTATGGCACTCCTGAAAATTGGCGTACCATTTAGGAATTTAATCTCATAAAGTCGACTTTGCAAAGAACTGTGCCCACATAACTGCAAGTTCCTAATTAGCAACCAAGACAAGCACCTGCGGTGCTCCCCACATACTTTACTTGCACAAACTGCTGGTCGAAAGCCGTGCGGTAGAATCCCATTCTGTTGGACCACTGACATTGGCCATTCATGTGCTAGCAGCAACAGGGCGCAAAAGCCTATAGCAGTTTCCTCAAAAATCAGGAGCCCATCCTTGTATGCCAGCATAGAGGAAGTGCCGCACTTGAGGAGGCACCCCAAGTACTCTTCATGTCTGCAAGGCCAACCGCAATGAACACTATGACACTATGAACCCTAGCCCCGCAAGAAAACCTAGTCGGCGAATCGAGTATGCAAAGCCTGCCCAAGTAGGGCAGCATGTTGAGCATGCGTATTATTAAGCTCAAAGCACAGAAGCCCCCAAAGACCCTCAAACGCATCCAGAGCCCCAAGGCCAAGCCAACCTATAATCCTCGACCTGCAATTATAGCCAGAAACAGGCTGCAACATTCCGACCGTTATTGATATTGTACTTTCCGTAATCGTGCTGATATGATCTATTTTCATATTTCGGCAAGTAAAGCTAGTACCATGTAAGCATGAGTTCGACTGTAGGAATCGTTGCTACTCACACTGGCTCCTCAAACTGCCAGTCCTTAGACCAACGACGATGTTCCTGGTGATTCACGAGAATGCTCTCGGTTCTGGGTTGTAGTAGAAGTACAATACCAAGAATTGTACTCATACTCTTGCTAGCGCAAAATCCTGATAATATGAATCCTAGTACTAATAGATACGCTCTAACCTAGTTGCTGAGTTTCCTTGTCAAGCAAATCGAATCTTTTAAAAAGAGTATGACCATGCAGATTCCAAATGCTGAAAAACATGGTTACCGGTTAGGTAAGGTAACTGCTAAACCCTAAGCACTAAACAGACTTGGCCTCGCGGAAACGCGTCACAGTCTCCTTCGCCACGCCAACCGCTTCGCCCGGCGAGTCTTGGCATGAAGAGGGAGGTCCCAACATACGGGTGGTTTAGGATCTATAAGGAATGTCCCAACGTAGGGGTGATTTAGGGTTGAAGGTCTGGGGTTTATGGAGACTGTCCCAACAAAGGGGTGGTTTAGGGTGACAGTCTAGGATTAGAGGGGAATGTTCCAACATAGGGTGATGTAGGTTTGGGTCTAGGGTTTATGAGGGAACGTCCCAGCATAGGGGTGGTCCAGGGCGGGTTTGTGGGGAATGTCCCAACATGGGGCCAGTTGGGTTTAGGGCAGTTGTAGGTACTCTTTTGAATTTCATCCATATACACGTATGTGCTTATTTATGTATGCATACATTTCGGCATGTATGAAGCAAAGTGTTAGTGCCTAGGATTTCTTGAAATCAGAAGCTTTTTTGGCCTAGCCATAATTTGGCATTATAAGGAGAGTACAGGAGGGGGCCTTCTCTCGTGATTGTTTGGAGGTAAGAAGGTTAAGGGCTTTCGTAAGAAGGAGCTTGCCTGAAGGGCTTTTGTTTTTCTAAATGTTTTGTAAGCTCTTGGGCAATCTAGGGAAGACCACCATCAAATCATTTCCTCATTTCGGCTCTCAACAATTGAGTTTGAAGCACAGCCTTGGGGTTGTGACGCAAAAAGTCCCGGAACAGGCTGCAGGCCTGAAGATTGTCACTGTGGCTTAGTAGGGATGAAGGGAATATAATATATATGAGCCATAATCTAAACTCCTTATATGACTTGTAGTCTAAACTCCTTACAGGGGGTTAAATAGGAGCTTATATGTAGGGGAACATTATAGGGGTCATTGAGGGGGATACTAGGAGTGTACACTATGGTTCATATGGAACCATATAGTGATTACAGGCCTTTTCTTCGCTGCTAGAAACCAGTAAGATCCCGTAAGGATTTCTGTCTGAGCTTCTCTTTTGCGCAAACAACCCAACCCAAACCCCAAACCCCAAACCCCAAACCCTAAACCCCAAACCCTAAACCCTAAACCCTAAACCCAACCCAAACCCCAAACCCTAAACCCTAACCAAGGCAACAGGATCTGGAGTCGGCAGCTCAACAACATCTTCAGGGACCCTAGGGACACATAAGGATTATAAGGGGGTTTTAGGGGTCCTTACTTGATAAACTCCCATTTGGGATATGATGATTACAGGTTTTGAAAGAAATTCGCGTTAGAGGTCTGTGTTGGCCTGATGGCGTGCTGGTGCAAGAGCTTCCCGAAACAAGAATAGGGGGCGCATCATACTCGGATTCAGATGGGCTTCTTCACGGCCCATTAGGGCCTCATACTTTAATACCCTCTGTTCGTAGGGATCCGAATTCTGCACCTCAACGAATGTCTGGAGTTTCACACTTATGGGTACTCCTTTGTGGGTCGCTATTCTGAGAATGAACCCGGACCCAAATCTTTTGGGTGGATCGAAGTGGATGCTATTTGAGGGTCCCTACTTTCAGTGACTTAGGCAAGACACTATCTCCTGGAGGGCTGTAGTAGGCTTTTATCGGCCCTAAACCCCGAAGACTGCACGTAGTTTCCCACGCTTTTAGGAGCCCAGGCCCCTTCATGGCATGACCCGACATGTTGGCCCCATCACCTGTTGCTTGGCCCCCAAGTACCATGTACTATGAAGCATATGGTCGCCGAGCATGGTAATGCCATGCGTGATTCGCAGCATCGACCGCAAGACCCCTTTTTCGGGGTTCGCCCATATGACGCACAGCGCAAAAGCTGCTTTCATGAAGCAGGCAGGTCTGGACTTTGCTGCTTGGTGTTCAGTAGGGAATGAAGAAAGCTTGGTAGCGCGTCCCTCTTTCTTAGGCGATGACACCATTCAGGACGGAGGAGCGATAGGCCCATGTGGACTGCCGCCAGCTTGTCGGCTACAGTAAACGAATGAAGAAAGGACCCTATAGTGTTCTTACATGAGCCCATGTAACAATCCCTACGATCCATTCCTGTAATCCAATCCTTTATTCCCAACTGAGCTCTAAGGTAGGGATAATCGAAAAAATGGAAACTACTATAGGAGAAGAAAATGGAAACTACTACAATATTATAGGGATTCTATAGGGGTGATGGAAAAGAAAAATGCAAACTACTATAATATTATAGGGAATCTATAGGGATAATGGAAAAGAATATGGAAACTACTATACTATTATAGGGAATCTATAATAATAACGGAAAAGAAAATCTAAACCCTAAACCCTATACCCTAAGGCCCAAACCCTAAACCCTAAACCCTAAGGCCCAAACCCCAAACCCCTATGGTAAATGTCAGGTAAGGCCACGACCATTTTGCATGTAGGACTTTACTAAGATGCCCATGGCCTTTGCCTGGCAAGGAGTCCGCAGGGGTATATGGGTGGTTGTCAAAATTATGGTCCCATTTTGGGTGCCCTAAATATAAGGTGCCGTAAAATGGGGGGCCAAAAAAGGATCATAATTTTGACAACCGCCCATATGGGGTTTCAAGAGGGGTCCATGCGTCCCTCCTATGGATTCTGCAAGACAAGCACCCCTATTACCGCGCAGTTCTCAGGCATTGAAAGTGTAGGCTGGGTAGCTTTAACATGGAAAACAATTCTCTGAAGCAGGGTGTGTAAGATCCTGAGCTTTGTCAGCAAATGCTCGAGCAGCGCCATAGTGAAGCTTGAAGACTTGCAGCTTTAGCAGTCTGAGCCCTAAACCCTAAACCCTAAACCCTAAACCCAGCGTTGACCAAGCATCAACTAAGCAAGCTTTTCCAAGCACCGGGCCTGGAGCAATCGTCCTTTCCCCTAATGGATCCAAAGGGTCTAGTCCCCCTTAAGTAGATAGAATATAGTATTGGGTATATTATGATAAGATCCCTATATATCCCATATTCTACCTACTTCGGGGGGACTATATACAGCGTGGGGTCTCCCCTAACCCTGACACCAAAAGCTTCCAGAATCCATCTGACTCTTCTGTGGCTGCTCTGATTCTGGCTTGGTGCCTTACTTACGGAACTTCCTTAAGTCATATTACTTGCTGGTGGTTAGTAAGGAGTAAGGGAATACAACCGCTGTAAAAAGTCTGTATAAGATATTCCCACTAACCCGCAGTAAGATTAGAGATCGTTTATGAAAGGTATAGTCCGAATTCAAGACAACTCAGGGGGGGAATGTATCAATAGCGCCGTCTCGATTGCCCAGCAAAAGGTTCCTTCAAGGAGCACATTGAACGCCGGAACGAAAAGAGAGAGAGAGAGAGAGAGGGGGGGAAGAGAGAGAGAGTGATATTGATGAATGTCTAACTTTTGAAGGAAACCCAGCCCCAAAACCCCAATGCTTGAGAAGAAGCGCGCTTGCTCAGGGAAGTCGAAACTCTTCAAACTGCCCTAGAGCCAGAAATAATACCCCAAACCCTAAACTCTTTAAACCCTAAATCCTCAACCCTGACCCTAAACCATGAGAGCCTCTGACACCACATCCGCAAGGCCCCCGAAGATGGCGCGTGCCTCAATGCATGTGGGGGTTTACGTGCTGGGGCTTGGTGGGGATACAATGGAATAATACATTCAGGATTTAGGGCTTAGGGTTCAGGGTTTAGGGTAGGGAATAAGGCAATATAGTCTATTGGGATTACATAGGAGTTATATTCCCTTATTCCCTACTAACCGCCAGTAAGTTTAGGGGCTGAAGTTTTGGGTTGGCGACAAATCTAAACTACCGGAGAGTCTTTCTGGCTGCCACAAATGTAATGCCACAACTAGACTTTGAAGAGCAATACACACTTTCTATCGCCCCGCCACGGATGACCAAACCCGGTTGCGGGGAATCTTATCGGAGATTAAATTGTAATCTGAGGACCGCGAAGGGGATCCGTACCTTCGTTACCCATGAAGAACTTGAAAGTTGTCACAAAGGTTCAAGGGACCTTTATATACCCCAAAATACCAGATTCCTTTTCATAAGGACAACCCACAAGGGAACCTCCCCTTGTTTTGGGAGGGCTCCAATTTGTGCCCATGTTCACCTCACCTCGTAAATTCCCAAATGCCTGAATCAGAAAACCCTGGCCAACGTAGGCTGCTGCTGAGGAACTTCGGGTTTCAGGGCTTAAGGCATAGGTTTAGAGGTTCAGGGTTTCGGTACACTTTGTTTTGCCAGGCGGTCTGGAGTCTTGAACCTTGAGAATTAGCACTTTGCGCTTGGGGCTAGGGTTTAGTGTTCTGGGCTCGGGCTTGGGGAAGTTACCATGCCAAGGGCTTATGGTAGCTAACCCTAAACCCTAAACCCTTAACCGTGCTGTCTGATGACTTAGTTTCCTCGACGAGCAACCCAACCTGGGTCCAACTTTCACAGGAATTTGGGGGATGCGTTAGGTGGACCCCCCACCCAGTAATAGTGACTATTATGGATAATAAGAAATATATTAGGGTCCTCCTCTATTCCTATTATACCACTATTACAGGGTGGGGGGTCCCCCTAAGGGATGCGAAGCGCATTATGAGGGACTACAACAGCTATGTAAAGTTCTGCAGAGGTTATATGGGGGTTATGAATAGGGGGCATTTGCTATCAGTAGTTAGGGTCCAGGGATTGTGAGGGGAGTACCCGTGCAACAGGGACCTTATAACAGTCTTTTGATAGCTATAGGCGCCGGATCTTTTGGGGTTGGGGCAGCCAGCATGCCCTTTCTATGGAAGAGCTATGGAAGCAACGCTAACTTGAACTTATGCTGGTGTCATAGACAAAGAAATGACTAGACATGCACATATACATATGTATATCTGGATGTATACATGGATATATATACACACGCACATACGTTTCGGGAGCTGCGTTAGCGAACGCGCCCTTATTATGGGAGAGCCTTCGAAAGCACCGCTCACTTGAACTTCTGCGTGCATCATATATTCATATATATGCATACAAATACATGTCAGTGTGTAGGTTGGAAGGAAGGTATGCCGTGCCGTTTTCTAGATCCATTGCTTGCAACCCAAAAAGATGAGGAGAGTTCTGTAGAGTGGTGGACTTCTGTTTCCGAATGCGCTGTGCCTAAGCGAGTCGAAGTCCCCAAGCATGTGGGGCACCAAGCTCGTTATTCCACATACGAAGGCCTCTGAACAGGGACCGTTGCCTTCTAAACTAACCTTCCCCCTCATGTAACCTCTGCACCGCGAAGCTTCCAAGAATCTCCTACGCACTCAAAGCAACCCTCAGGCCCTGCATATCCTGATCTTTGTAAATCATTAAATATCCTGGTCCGGGGGGGTTATATCAACTTGGAACCTGGGGATGAACAAGAGTTCTGACTTGATCATACGGACAGCCTTGGAGATTTCCTAGGTGGATTTGAGGGCTTCCCAAGAGTACGGGTACCTTTTGGACGTCCCTATAACAAGGATTATAGTATTTCGGGGTGCTATATTGGGGTCCCTCTGTTTTGGGAAACTACCATTTAGAGAAGCCTCTAGAAGCAGTTTCTTCCTGGTGGTTTGGAGGGACTGAAGGAGACTAGTATGGGGATCCATCCCTCCATTCCGTGCCAAACCTAAACCCCGCCCCGTAAGCATCCCTAAACAATACTTTGTAGTTTTGGTTTTCCTTTCCGTTCCCTACTAGCCCTAGACCCTTTGAAAAACAATTTAGCGATGACAAATTTTCTCTTCCATCCACTACGAAGCACCAGTATGCTATATCATCCCTATATAGCCTATAACCTTATATGCGCTATAATCTAAACTCCTAGTCTCCCCCTAAATCACCCCTATACAAATCCCCCCTATGGTTTCGAAGCCTGTGAGACGGACTCCTGAACCCCTAAACCCTAGACGCTAAACCTTTATAACCCCCTGTAACAACCCCTATATGACCCCTATAATGGTTTGCAAGCCTGTGAGACGGACTCCTGAACTTTGGGCATCTCATGGGCCTGGCATTGAGCCTGCAGAGTGTGAGATGCGGCGCGGGCTTCAGTGGGGTTATAGTCCCCCTCGAGTAGATAGAATATGGCTTTGGGTATATTACAATAAGATCCCCATATACCCCATATTCTAGGTTTTCTGGAAGAAAAACCCTGTTGCACAGTTGTGGGCCAATTATTATGGTGGCAAAATTCAATTTGACATTTGTTGGGGGCTTATATGGCTTTCTTCGGGCTTTAGTTTGACGAATCCTCAAGCCCATTTTGGCTGTTTTAAAGCTGAGCAAGCTGCAGTTGTTTGTGCGAAATGTGGAACCCCGTTCAAAGGTTGAGGCGGGGGTTGCCAAACTTTAGAGGTCCCTTCCCATAAATAAACAGGAGCGTATGTATTGGAGTATGCAAGCGGGCGCCCGCTTCTGGAAACATCCAGAAAGTTGCTCGTCTATTGGGGCGCAACTTAATCCCACTTGAGAATGCAGGCAGTGTTGCGGTTTTGCTGTTTCACTGAAGAAGCGTCGCGATGCCATAAACTACAATCCAAGAGCTATAAATGAACCGCAGACAAACCCCTTTAACAGTAGTCCTGTACGTCCTGGACAAATCTTGTCATCTTGGTTTTCGTACGTACCTGGTTGATGATGTTTCTTGTCTGCACTTTCAGGAGAACTGATGGCACAGCTCTTCCTGCTCGGAAATCAACAGCCGTCTAAGGGCTTATCCAAACCTTTCAATGCAAGTTTAGTGATGCTTGGAGAAGTAAACATCTAGCAATATCCGGGGCGTAAAGGGCACACAAACATGGCGCAGAATTCTACCCCAGAAAGGAACTGCAACAGCCATCGAACAAGCGAGAGTCCCACGGCGTCTCAAGCAAGTTTCCAAGTACTTGTCGAAGGCAATGTTGTTTACCGCGTGATGTCTACCATAGGTCGACCCCCAACCTTGTAATAGTGGTGTACGTAATAGGAATAAAAGCGGACCCTCATGTATTTACGATTGTCCCTTGTAGTCACATTTTTTTGGGGGGGGGTCAACTGAATGTCTACCGCTCAAACAGAAGCCTGTATCAGGAAGAGATAGTGCTCTCTAGCCCAAGGAGGGCAACCAAACATTCATACAGGACACTTTCACTGAGGACTTCGGGCCTCATGCGGCCAGAGGCTCTGGGTAACTTGCGATTGGGGAACTGGGCATTGCAGTGTCAAGGCATCGTTCTCTAGGCAGCCCGGAAGGGGTGTATAATGGCTCTTGGCTGCTCCGGGGGCTGCAAGGATGTAAGCGCCTTCCCCTAACATCAAAACTCCCCCCTGAAATCACAAATTCCCAGTCTGGCATATTGGGAATCTTCAATCTTGCAGGGGTTGGGGGGGGTTATACTAGGGTTATACGTACTAGGGGCATAGGACATAGGATTAACCAAGTTTAGGGGCTTAGGGGCCTGACTCGAGGCCTGCGAAAGGTTGTTTTCTTCTTGCAGGTTTATCGCTTTAAGGCTTGTGGCTAGAGATTTGAAGGATTTTGGGTTGGAGTCTGTGGGGGATATAGGATCAGTCAGGGGCATTAGTCCGTGTGAGCCTTAGCACGTGTAAGTTTAGGGTTGCTGTGCAAGGGACTTATGTTCATGGCTCTTTCAGCGGGCAGCTACACAAGATTAACATAACCCAGACCCCTGATTAATAAACCCCCTCCCCTTAAAAGGGATTATATTAGGAATCCTAACATTTAGTCTTAAAAGGAGGGGTGTTACTAATCATGGGTCTACATTAAGTTTTGCTGATGCTCCATGGAGTTACTCTTCATCCCCAGGCTGCCTAAGCCCCTATAAAGGGGACCCCAACGGTGAAGGCAGAAAAAAGACGCAAAAATCGTGTACCTTCCGTGGGGCATAGGGTACGCAAGATGGTGCAAGGTTTCTCTAAACCTACAATCAAGCCTATTCCCTAAACCCTACAGCCGAACACATATACCCTGAATCCTATTCCTGAAAGCGTTGTAAAGCCTAAACCCTCAATTTTTTTTTAAAGGAAAAAGCAAACATAGCCGTCCTCGGCCAGGGTGATCCAGCAGCTGCCTTGCTCTGCCTCCTCAGCAGAGCCAACTGCCTCAGCAATATTTGTGGTTTCCAAAACGTGGGGGTCCCTATTAGGGACCTTGATAAAGAAGGAGATCTAGGGATATGTAGGTTCTACCCCCATAATGGAGAGTGAAACGCAAAAGCAAATGGAACAGTCATGGAAACTCAGGTTTGCGGCTTTTGACACCTCATGAAGGGTACTCTTCGAAGCGTTCTTGCAGGACGTTTACAGAGTATATTGTGGACGCCTCATTTCGAAAACTATATTTAGATTTGAGGAATTCTGAAGCTTGGTATTTTCAACATGGATTCGTTACGATGAGGGCTGTAGCTGGATCGCTGCTTGATTTATACATGGGACCCTCGTTTTGAAAAAGACCACGAGTCACCTGAGCTATAATCTAAACATCGCCTACATATGCCCCTGTAAGGAGTTTAGACTATGGCTGACATGGGACCCGCATGCTGAAAAAAGGCCCTGAGTCATTTGGCAGAGGCAGGTTGTGGGCATTTGGGGTTGGGGATATATTGTTCTGCTTTCGGGCAGCGGCGGCTGGAGCCCTGTGCTTGGCTTCGGGGTTGAGCAACACACAGCTGGGCCACACCCTAAACTCCAACCCGAAACCCAAATCCCTAAACCCCAACCCTAAACCCGGGTAAATGCCCTGCTGTCTGCAGCAAGCTTGGCTTTACGAAGCTCCTCTGCGTTGACAAACGCTTTCGGCAGCCAGCTCCGCGTTCCATGTATAAACCCTACATATCCCTATACGACCCCAACATATGCCTATATGCCCCCTACATATCCCTACATAACCCTATATCCCCCTGTATAGCTCAACCTGCCTACTGACTTTGATGTTTGTGCGTTGCTTTGGTATACCCCCCTATATCTATATTGGTTCCCTATATACTCCCCATTTTATCCCCCATTAAGAAGTTTAGACCCTAAACCCCCCCAAACCCTAAATCCTTATATACCCCCCGCTTTCAGGAGTTTAGACTATGGCTCATATCTGTTGTTGTTGCTACTGGTCCATGCGAGATGCCTCTAAGAATGGCTTGGGCTCTACCTGCAAGGGGGGGCACTCCGGTTCAGGGTTTGACGCTGTAGGGTAGCAACTTACCACAGTTTAAAGATTAGGGATTAGGGTTTCAGGTTCCAAATATCTGTGCATCCCGGGACGTACCCGACTGGCGTGTTGATGTACCTTTGAGATTCCAGCTGCTTTAGTCAATGTTGTATATCCAGGGTGCTTAAGCTCCTACTAAGCGGGAGAGGGAGACTTCGCAAGTATGATTCTAGTTCTAACCGTTTGGAGTCCCCCAAAAAAGGAATGAGACCATTTACCCCATTGGTAAGCTATGGACTAAGCCCCCCCAACGCTCCAAACACCAACTTCCACAGACCCCACGTCCCTTGAGTGCATCTCGGCCCCACAGCGCTGCCAAATCCTACGCCCTAAAACCTAACCCCAGATCCTAAACTTTCAATGGCAACCCCAACTCCAAGCCCCAAAAGCCATATGTTCACGTACAATCCTGAACATATCCCTATGACCCTACGTACCTGTTGTTGTTGCTAAACATACTTTCCCACACCCTATACCCCCCGCCTGATAGCTGGCAATGGCCTTCTGCGCAGCGGGGATAGCCTGGGTTGTGTGTGCGCGCTTTAAATGGGTGTACAAGGGCTGTGTGGGGGTATATTGGGTTTAGGGTTCAGGGACTATGGTATTTTGGAGTCCCCCCATTTTCGGAAACTACGTTTTAACTCACTAAGGCAGAGAAGGGACGGGAATATAGGCCAATGAACTATCTATCCGTAAATATATATGGGGATTCTATAGGGATAGTTATAGGTATCCACTCCCCCACCCCTTTAAGCACCAGTAACTTAATCATTGTTAGCACTGCTTATCGACAGTGCTCTCTACGTAACAATATGGAAATCTTCAAAACCTTCCAGGGAGCAGCCCAGTGGCTTTCAGGTACTGACCTTTGGCCAAGAAGTCCTGGCTGTCTGGGCTTGAACTGCGGAAGCTACGAAATTTTCAGCCTCCTTTTCAGACACCTAAAAAACACAACTGCTCCTTCTAGGGTACCGAGAACCCGCTGGGGGTCTGACGTGTAAGGCGTCGGACTTCATTCCTAGGGGCAAAAAGCCGCAAAAATGCGTCCCAAACTGGGTGGCTCTTCAGGAACTTAAATTGGTTGCCACCACATGTGCTTTCTGTCTAATCTGAATGAAAGTTAAACTTGTAGCCGCCTGAATATGAGATAGAGGAGCACCAAGAATTACAAAGCGATAAAGTTGTAGCAAATCCCCACCTAGAATATGGGTATATAGTAAACATTAAGGTTTCCTGATTGCAGTAACTTAATTTAAGTACAGGAACCCAGCAAAGGTCCCCCCATTGCCGGCCGGAGAAGGCAACCGAACGCTGACTTTGGGCTTAGGGGGCTCAGGGTGCGACTCCCCCTAGCCCAAGATACAAGGCCTCCTATTCTCAGCCATCCCCGCAGAGGACAAGCAAAACTCGAGTGCCATCAAGGTGGGACCCAAACCCTAAACCCCAGAGCCTTGATGGAACCAGTCAAGCTTCGAACAACAGATTCAATGTGGCCGATGCCCCCCCGTACAATGAAACCACTCACGCCTCTCACCCCCACGGTGCGAAATCATCTTAATGGAGTGCCATTATAGGTTCGCGGAACATTCATGGACAGTTTCTGACTGGAAAGATTTGAGTACACAATTCTCAAGGCCCTTGATCCTTAGCGTCCACATTACGGAGAGCGCTTGAGGAGCCGCCTTCGCGAGCTTGTGCCGCGCGGCGCCACAGAAGCCTCGCTTGCAGTGAAGGACGACTGTTTAGGGTTCCGGGACCTGTGGTTGGGGTACCCATACAGAGAAGGCCTCAATACAGAGAGAGAGAGAGAGAGAGCGAAAGAGAGAGTATATCTTATAAAATCATGATTATTCTTGGCTAGGGGTTCCTACACTGGGAAGCGTAGCAGAGGATAGAGGGTTGAGCTTTCATGGAAACAGTAATGACAATCGCAATCATCATAGCAGTATTAAACGGAAAAGTATGATAGAAATAGCACTACTCATATGATCCCTGCGTGCCTGAATTACTATCATAGGTCCCTTATACTCCTGAAATAAACATTACAGCACCCAAACGCTGTTGGAAAAAAAAGAACCCTAAACTCTAAACCAAGCATTTATCACAGTGAAGCTTTAAGCTCTAAACCCTAACCCTTCCCACCCCCGCCCTATTTGCCCACACCATACTCCGGTTACGTGCGCATCCAAGGTCACAG